GTGAGTGCTTACTATAACCAATTTCAAAAGGATTTTTCGTTGTTTCTGAAATGTCGTGCAGAAGAATTGGTGGAGGGAGGTTGTATGGTTTTGACGCTTTTGGGAAGGCGAAGCCAAGACCCCACTAGCAAAGAGTGTTGTTACATTTGGGAGCTCTTGGCTCTAGCTCTCAATGACATGGTCTCTGAGGTAATTTAGAGTTTAGACCTACTACAACTTATTAAAAATATGAATTAATAATCAAATTTACTGTAAATCATTAGCTTAAGTCGGTAGATTTAGTGATAGACCGTTAAAAGTATGGTATCAAATCAAATGGGTCGATATAAGTTTGTAACTATGATGATTTACGAAGAAAACTTTCGAGTTGAATGGTAGTTTATCTATTTGATTTTGCATGGGCAAATTACAGGGAATGATAGAAGAGGAGGAACTAGAAAGTTTCAACCTACCAAAGTACATGCCTTCAGCTGCGGAAATGAAGATTGAGATAGTGAAAGAAGGATCATTTGTGATTAATGGCATCCAAGTTTCGAAAGTGGATTGGAATATTGTGTATAATGACAAACAACTCGACACACTGGAAGAAGTAAGGGATTGTGGGTACAACGTAGCCAAGTACATGAGGGCAGTGGCTGAACCGATTGTTGTAAGTCATTTTGGAGAACATATCATCGATGAATTGTTCATCAGATATGGAGACATCATTGTGGATCGCATGGCGAAAGAGAAAACTGAGTTTGTCAACGTCACCATTTCCCTCACTAAAATGAAGTAATCGTATTGGTCAAAATAAATATAAAAGTATGAAGAATATGAATTTGGTTTTTGTTTGTGTATTGTCTCGTGGTTTTATTCTGTATGTATTAACTTTTTACATTAGTTGCCAAAGTGGGAGAATATATATGCATGTTGTTATCATATGTATGTCTCTGTTCATGTACCCAAAATGATGAAGATTTTTAATTTTACAAGAAAGTCTTCTGGTTTTTGTTTGCTTTAATTTACTACTTGTGGACCTTATGAAAAAGGGGCAGACTCGAGATTTGTTTTCTGAACTATTAAGGTTAAATTGATAACAAAAATGAAATGGAAAAAAAAAATACTAATTGGGCTTAATATAGTCCACATTTCCTTCAAAAAGATATTGAAATGACAGTTTCCTCTGTCATTTTTCAAAGTCTCTTTTTATTCTTTCCAAATGTCTCAATGCTCATATGCTAATTATGATAATTAATTGGACCAAGATTTATATGGAACAAAAAGAGAGACACAGTTGTGGGCAATGAAATGTATATGATAATCCAAAGATTTATGATAAACCACAAATTCATGTGTAATAAAGACTGTCTTCATACTTAATTATCTTAGATCCCACTCTTGGTGGAGCCGAGGTAAATAGGATCTTCAGGGTCGACCTTCTTAAAGACCAATCCGACCTATGAAGCATTTAGTCATCAATCTTTCAAAAGGCTAAATGGAAGTACATAAGACTGTGTCTAACTACTCTTCAATAATTTTTTCGATAACACGTCACAGATTACGAAACATTTGCAACTGTCACGTGAGTGTGGCCCACCTAGTTTTCACCTATAAATAAAAGGACCCCTGTTAATGATCTCACGTAGTCTTCAATTTATCTACTAGATTGTCTCCTCATACTAGTAACTATTTGATATATATCTAGTTTATTTAGCTGAACTTTTTTGTCCATGAATGATTTGATGATGAACTTGTCAATGTTCCTTTTGCTCTTTTATCGTTCCCAGCAGAATGGAAATGTCGTGAAAGTGCATCGCTTTGATGTAATTACTTTTAATCAACTTGCTTTTCAACAGAAGTTACTTCGTAACTAAGATCTCTCTTTCAAATTAAAATTCTTTATTTTAATTTCAATTTATTGAAACAAATTATTGGTTTAATTAATTCGTTCTTTTTTTTTTTCAAATTTGTGTTCAGAGGGAGAAAAAGACCATGGTCCAGTATAAAAAGAACTAACCATTTAAAACCTATAGAAGAATTCATTCTTCTTAATTAAGTTTCCTAAATCTAAACCCCCTCTTGCAAGGGGAAGGGAAACAAACCATAAACAAATTCTATCTCCCTCCCTAAGAAAGTTACTCCCTCCAAATGAGTCAGTGATTTAGGATTTCCTTCCAAAGGTATCTCAATTACCTCTATTCTAACACATGAGCATTTAGTTGCTTTATTTGCTTCCTCCAACTATCATAGTTGATGTCCAACGGACTAATTTCAATAAGTTTTTTCTCATTCTAGAAGTCCAATAATAAGTATTAAGAAATTGGAGTAAATTATGTGAAAAAATTTTCCACGAGTCTAGTGCCTCTCTCAATAAATCAACTCAAAGTATTGAGAACAAACACAGAAGAAATGGAGAAAAATCTCCTTGAAGCTTTTATTCTCACATGAGGTTTTCGCTGAAGAAAATGAAAAAGGTTGGAATCCTGATGCAGCTTGTTGTGCATCTTCCCCAAGTTAACCCAAAACTTTTTCTTCCTCTAAGCACAGATTGGGATAAAATCCACGCTAATCATATATCATGTTGCTTTCTCCAGTACAATTTAAATTACCTATCCTGTTGGCAGCCTAATAATAGATTAATGTTTGTACATATCAAACACCAACTCAAATTCTTCAAATGGATCCCTAGCTCAGGCCGCATCAGTTACATTAATTACACATCTTAGTTTAATTAATTTGTTGTTTTTTTTCCTTTGGAAGATGGTTCGTGGATTATGTGGAGTGATTCATTTTTATTTTGGTTTCTTGAATCCCTAGTTCAGGCCGCATCAGTTACATTAATTACACATCTTAGTTTAATTAATTTGTTGTTTTTTTTCCTTTGGAAGATGGTTCGTGGATTATGTGGAGTGATTCATTTTTATTTTGGTTTCTTGAATCCCTAGCTCAGGCCGCATCAGTTACATTAATTACACATCTTAGTTTAATTAATTTGTTGTTTTTTTTCCTTTGGAAGATGGTTCGTGGATTATGTGGAGTGATTCATTTTTATTTTGGTTTCTACTTTCTAGTACAATTTCTTTGTGGTTTTCATTACTAATACGAGGGTAAGATATTATCTCCTGCAGTCCTCTCTCTTCCCCATCTCTTTATCTCGAGTCATTTTGTTTCTTACTTTCAAGTTTTCAAGTGTCTAATATAGTTTTTCCTTCAAAAATCTGGATGACAAAGAAAAGTTGAGGCACAAGGACTCAAATATCAAATTATTGAGTTATAAAGTCGTTTTGAGCATCGATTTCAAGCAACGATGGCTGAGATGACGCTAAAAATAAAGAAAGTAAGGGTTAGAAAATTTTGTTGTTTTAGGTATTTGAAGTATTTGAATTATTTGAATTACTTTTAGAAATATGGTGACTACTTGTGGATTATTTTTGCAGTAACTATTAGTTATAGTAAATAATATTTTGCTTGGGTTGAATATAGATTTGAAATTATAAATTTTAATTAGGAAAAGTAATTTAATTTTTTCAAACAAATAATATTAAGTTAATATTAATTTCAAATGTTATCATTCTATTTGATTTGAAAAATAATGAAAACCTTCGAAAAAAGTAATTGAAACTAACTAATTACGACAACTAATTTAATAATTATCGAAGGTTTATAACTTTTGAAAAATATAAATTTTTGATGGTTAATAAAACTTTCGGAAAAAGCTTTTTCGACGGGACCTATTTCGACACTTTTTGAAGTTGAGTAAACCTTCGAAAAAACATTTATCGAAGGTTTATTTTATACTTTTTCAAAGGTTGTGACCTTTGAAAATACTTAATTTTCTTGTAGTGTCTCATTGTCAATTGGTTTTGAGATGAACCTCATTAATATTGATTACTATATCACTACTATTTATTCTATATTAATATTAATTAGATATTAAATATAATGGATATCAACCCTTCAAATTTAAAAGTATATCAGATTTTTAACTTTTTTTTTTGGACGTGCATGATCCACATAATAACTTTATATTAATTTTTTTTTTGCACCATTATTTTCATATGAAAAATATTATTAGATATAATAGTATTATATCAACACACATGTATCATAATTATATTAGTAGGTATCATTGTTATATCAAAGATATATCAGTGGTAAATTATAAGCATATTACGTATATATCAAATATATATCAGTGTTAGATTAGTGGTAAATCATATAATCATATATATATATAAGAAGTTATATCAGTGGTATATCAATGGTAAATTAGAGATATATCAATTATATATCACAGATATATAAATGTTGTATCGGCATGACAAATCAATGGTTATCATATGTATATTAGTGGTAAACCATATTAGAAGTTCAATAGATGTCATAGTTATATCAAAAGAAAATCAATTGTATATAATTATTATATCAATGGTATATCATAGGCATATATCAGTAATTAGATGTATTGCAGATATATTACAGATGTATATCAGATACATTGCAAGGTAAGGTTGCAATTTGAAAAGTTGACCTCCGTTTTTTTGTTGAAAAAATGCTATATTTGAAAAAACTAAATGTTGTTGCTATTTAACTTATTTTATTAAATATTTTTGTCATATTTGCAACTGTTCGTAAATTAAAATATGAAACTTTAACTTAAGTTTTTTTTAGTTCAAGTAGAACAAGAGGTTGGAGGGATTTGAACTTTCGAGTTTTAAAGAAATAGATAATGTCTTGACCAATCAAACAGCAGTCTCATGTCGACGAACTTAGGTACAGTTGGTAGGTTATATATAAATTTGAGATGTCTCATATCAAAGTTTCTCAAAAAGTAGAAAACAATATATAATTTAATATATATTATTAAAAGTGTCCAAAAAATGAATTTGTTTCTATTATTTCATTACTTGAAAAACTACTCACTAGATAACAAGATGGATTCTGTTATTCATTATAAAGAGAAAATATTGTGAAAATATCGTTATCCACAATATGGGACCACATTCTTTGCTCACATGATTCACAATTTATTTTTTTTATTATTTTCTTTTTTATTTAACATCCATAGTCAAGTTGATTTGAACTCAAACTAATTTTTATTTCAGAAAAAAAAAATGTTAGTTAGGATTTCCATGTGGTGGTTGAGGTTTTGTTTTCTTCATCTTTTTTCTAGGAACGTTTTCTTCCTTCTTTACTTCAATATCATATTCCTTTTCTTTATCTTCTTCTTTTAATTTTTTCATGACAAGAAAAAAATAACAAGAAAAAAATAAAAGTAGCTGAGAAAATTTAAATAAGATGTACCAGATGAAATTTAGCTTGATCAAATTCAAATGAAGTGTCACAAATCAACTATCAAAGCGAGCATAACTCCATGGTAGTTGGTATATATCTCCAACCGTGAGTTCAATCCCTCACCCCCATGTTATGCTCTAAAAAAAAGTCAAATCAACCCATATATTACAACATATACCAAAGTCTATCATAAAGATTACAGTATTTATAGAAGTTTAAGGTTTAATCTGATGAAATTAAAAATTAAGTGAGCATATAAATTTATGGAGGACAAGTTTAGGGATAAAAGTTCTTTCTTTTTCAAGTTTAGTATTCACAAGTGAGAGAAATTTGACTTCACTGCAATTATGTTTCAAACTAATTTTGAACGTTTTTAAAAAGAGAGAGAAAAGGAATGAACTGTCACCATAATGAACATCCGATTGCATCAACCACCACCAAAAAGTTGTGGATGACATAATGTTCTTAGAGATCCTAGGTCAACAAAACCTAAAAAGAAAAAAGCAAGAAAGGAAAATATCCTAATTTAGAGTTTTAAAAAATACATGATTACGGCAGTTCCCGACCTAATTTCAAAAATAGGATAGATAGATCAACAAAACCTAAAAAGAAAAAAGCAACAAAGGAAAATATCCTAATTTAGAGTTCTAAAAAATACACGATTATGGCAGCTCCCGACCTAATTTCAAAAATAGGATAGATAGGTCAACAAAACCTAAAAAGAAA